GAGTGCTGTGTGTGAGAGTGCTGTGTGTGAGAGTGTGCTGTGTGTGAGAGTGTGCTGTGTGTGAGAGTGCTGTGTGTGAGAGTGCTGTATAAATGTTAGAATGGATTGTGTGTGTGTGTGTGTAGGGGGGGGGTAAATAAACAAATAAAATAACAGGCCCCCTCCCTTCTTACCTTTAGCCTGGGAACGGGGGACCGACACGCTGGTACCTGGGACTGGGAGGCGGGGTGGCAGTGTTCCCTGGTGGTCCTTGTGGTGGGTGAACTCTAGCCTGTGGGGCTAGAGTTCACTCTCGCGAGATCCGGTCGTTGCCATGGCAACACGCCGGATCTCGCGAGAGGAGCCCAGCGTAGCTTCAAGTTAGAGCTCCGTCGGGTCCTCCTCTCCTGGCTGGCTCCCTCCCTCTCTCCCCGCTGGCAGCCGCGTTTGACAGCATGTGGGCCGGTGAGGTAGATCTCTGATCACCTCACCGGCCCTTCATGGAAAACAGCGGGGCCGGCGCTCGGATAGTGCCGGCCCTGCATAGACCGGCAGGGGAGATCCTGGGACCTCCCCTGCCGGCCTCGGCCCATAGCCACCGCAGCCCACCGGGCATTTGCCCGGTGTGCCCGATGGCCAGTCCGAGCCTGTTAGATAGATATATAGATTGTTAGATAGATAGTTAGACAGACAGACAGACAGACAATCACCATGTTGAAATATTAAATTACATTTAATAATTGAATTATTAAACTGTGTTTTGCATATTTACCATTCAGATGTAATAATACATAAGTCTATATAATAGTGACATGTTTGAATAGTAAACGGAAAAAAAAGGATTTTATTTATTTCTTTGTTGAGTTTCTTATACAAGGAAAACGCATAACTAATGCTCCAACAGTTGTACATTAAATTGCATTGTGTTCACTTATTTGATTTATATTACAGCACTCCTCCTACCTGAATTATTTTAAATGTAAATTTACTGAAAAGTGAGTTCTTGTGGTTTTACAGTTGATACCTAGGTTGATTGTCAAAGATGCCAAATTTAAGCATAATTGCTCCTTCTTCTAATAGATGAATTCAGTCTACTTAGTCTAAGATATTTCTTATATTATCAAATAATTGTCTCCGGTTGAAATTTTTGAATAAGCTTTCCAAATGATTTAATATTTTTGGATAAACTATTGAGATTTATTTTTCTAAATAATAAAATATCAATATATATATATATTAAAATAGTTTTCACAATGTCAAATTATTTTAATAGTTTATCCAAGCATGTTAGAATATTTGAAAAGCTAATCTAAAAATATTAGATTGAGGGTAATGCAAGCAACCAACGAGATAAACAATAAGTGATGTTTTAATAATATTTATTGTTAAATTGTCCTGACTATTCTCTTTATTTTATTGGTTTCTAACTTAGTATGTGGGTAACAGACGTAAACAGATACGCTATAAAGAAAGTCATTTGTTTAAATTTCAAGAGTGATTAAAATCTGTATTAATGATTTACTACAATAAAGGAGACCCCTGGAACAGGGGGATCCCAAAAGGGGTAGCTCTGGTACAGAAAAAAGGGAATATAGTATCTAGAGGTAAATGGAGTCATAGAAGAGGGGGGGGGGAAGGAAAAATGCCATGTAATAATGGGCAAAAAGGATGAAGGGGGTAGAGGAACAAAATCAGTGACAGAGTAACCCCTACTCCACCCTAAACCACCCACAGCTTCCAGATACAGGCAGAACTTAGGACTAAAAATCCATTTTCTGTAGATGGAAAAACCTATGTGTCTATAGAAATGATGTAAACGAAAAACCTTCATTTAGTCCCTGTGGTGAAAGAGTTTTTAACTTATAAATCCAGTAGGATTCTCTCTGCTTAAGCTTGCGATCCCAGTCCCCTTTCCGTTGGGTCTGGGGTATAAGTTCTATGCCCATAAAGCGTATCCTACTGGATGAATTGGCATGGTATATTTTGAGATGTCTTGAGATGGGAGTTTCTAGTTTCCTCCTAACTGAATTGACATGTTCCCTTATGCGGAACTTAAAAGGGCGGAAGGTCTTTCCTACATATTTAATACCGCAGGAGCATGTCAAGAGGATACGCTTTATGGGCATAGAACTCCCGCCGTCCAATGACGTGAGTCGTGGTAAGGTGGGTGTGGATCATGTTTGATTGATCCCCCCACCGTCCAATGGCATACGTCTCGTGGCTGGAACAAGGCTAGAGGGGCGTGATGTTCTTACATTGTTCATCCACATAGGTAGTCAGTAAGAGTTAGTTAGTATTCTAGTTATTTTGGTTTCTTAGGCAGGCTTTTTCAGTCTCCTTTTGGGCTTTATATGCAAGGGTATTTTTATTAGGACCCTATTGCCCATAGGATTGAGCCTGCTTGTGAGAGGGGGATTTTTCTTTTTCTTTGGATTTTTAGTCCTAAGTTCTGCCTGTATCTGGAAGCTGTGGGTGGTTTAGGGTGGAGTAGGGGTTACTCTGTCACTAATTTTGTTCCTCTACCCCCTTCATCCTTTTTGCCCATTATTACATGGCATTTTTCCTTCCCCCCCCCCCACCTCTTCTATGACTCCATTTACCTCTAGATACTATATTTCCTTTTTTCTGTACCAGAGCTACCCCTTTTGGGATCCCCCTGTTCCAGGGGTCTCCTTTATTGTATGTATTTATTTTCATTTTGGGTTACCCCCTATTTTGTAGCTCTGAAGTAGGCTATCAGGACCGACCCCACAGCCTCGCAATTATTTGCAACGCTGTGGTGGTATCCTGTATTTCTTATTTCTCCTTTTACATTAATGATTTACTAGGTTTTCTCTGCGAAGAATCTTGTGGTGCTAATAAAGCAGTTTCTGGCAAAGTGGGAAAAGAGGTCATCCTAGCCGTGAATCACAGTGACATCATAGACATCAGCTGGTTAATCGTCAAAGGCAACATCCATTTTGCTACCACAAAACCAAATTTAAGCATTGACATTCGAGACAAACAATATGACGGTCGACTGTCTGCACTTGAATATGGTTCTTTAAAATTTAGCAGCCTAACTAAGGAAGACGAAGGTGAATATAAAGCAGATATTAGGTATGCAGAAGAGAAACATTGTGGCCAGCGCTATGTACTCCAAGTTTCCGGTAAGTTTCTCTCACTAATACAGGGGTGCCCAAAAGGTAGATCTCCAGATGTTGTAAAACTACAGCTTCCATGATGCTATATCATTCTAAATCATTCTAAAGGCATACAAATAATAATGGGTGTTGTAGTTCTACAGCATATGGGAATCTACCTTTTGGTCACCCCTGAATTAATATGTACATCTTATGGAAATGATGAGTGGGACTAACCTCTGATATGACCATTATGACTTTAGAAGGCAATAAGAAAACATGAATAATAAAACAGGTTTCTTGTACTTTCAGAAGAATATCTTTCGATAATACATAAATATCCACTGTTCCCAGTTAATTGATCGTCCTAGGGGATGAACGTGTTTTGAATAACAATGTTTTTTTTAGAGTTAGGATTTTTTATCATCTCTAAAACAACATCCTGGATATTCTTGGGTCAATGATTGTGGTAAAGATTTTTGGGATAAGAGTTGTGGAGGGGGGGGAAGAAATTGGTAGTGGAGGGGGGAGAAGAAATGGGGAGGGTGGGAGAAAAATCTGCAAAAATCCTTGCACCGGCCCTGTGTGTGTGTATAGGTGATGTAGTGTGTTTTTAGGGGTGTAGTATGTGTTTGCTTACAAGGAATCTAGTGTGTGTATAGGGGATCCAGAGTGTGTATGTTAAGAGTGTAGTGTGTGTTTGTATATATATATTTGGAAGTATTGTGTATGTGTGGTGTGGTGCAGTGTGTTGGGGGGGTTCTGTGTGTATGTGAGGGGTGCAGTGTGTGATGTGTGTGAGTGCTGTGTGTGGTGTGAGAGTGTGCTGTGTGAGAGTGTGCTGTGTGAGAGAGTGCTGTGTGTGATGTGTATGATGTGTGTGTGAGAGTGCTGTGTGTGAGAGTGTTGTGAGTGCTGTGTGTGAGAGTGTTGTGAGTGCTGTGTGTGAGAGTGCGGTGTGTGATGTGTGTGAGTGTGCTGTGTGAGAGTGTGCTGTGTGAGAGTGTGCTGTGTGAGAGTGTGCTGTGTGTGATGTCACACAATCAACACAGTAAAGGAGGAGACTATATTTAAAAGAAGAGAAACTACCACAACAAGAGGACATAGTCTTAAATTAGAGGGACAAAGGTTTAAAAATAATATCAGGAAGTATTACTTTACTGAGAGGGTAGTGGATGCATGGAATAGCCTTCCAGCTGAAGTGGTAGAGGTTAACACAGTAAAGGAGTTTAAGTATGCATGGGATAGGCATAAGGCTATCCTAACTATAAGATAAGGCTAGGGACTAATGAAAGTTTTTAGAAAATTGGGCAGACTAGATGGGCCGAATGGTTCTTATCTGCCGTCACATTCTATGTTTCTATGTTTCTATGTTTCTATGTGTGTGAGTGCGCTGTGTGAGAGAGTGTTGTGAGTGCTGTGTGAGAGTGTGCTGTGTGTGAGAGTGCTGTGTGAGAGGGTGCTGTGTGTGTGAGTGTGCGAGAGTGTTGTGTGTGAGAGTGCTGTGTGTGATGTGTATGATGTGTGTGAGAGTGCTGTGTGAGAGAGGGCGGTGTGTGATGTGTATGATGTGTGTGAGAGTGCTGTGTGTGAGAGTGCTGTGAGTGCTGTGTGAGAGTGTGCTGTGTGTGAGAGTGCTGTTTGAGAGGGTGCTGTGTGAGAGGGTGCTGTGTGAGAGGGTGCTGTGTGTGATGTGTATGATGTGTGTGAGAGTGCTGTGTGAGAGAGGGCTGTGTGTGATGTGTATGATGTGTGTGAGAGTGCTGTGTGTGAGAGTGCTGTGAGTGCTGTGTGAGAGTGTGCTGTGAGTGCTGTGAGAGAGTGTGCTGTGTGTGAGAGTGTGCTGTGTGAGAGAGTGTGCTGTGAGAGAGAGTGTGCTGTGAGAGAGAGTGTGCTGTGTGAGAGAGTGCTGTGTGAGAGAGTGCTGTGTGTGATGGGTGTGAGAGAGCTGTGTGAGAGAGTGCTGTGTGTGATGCAGTGGTGTATCCTGGTTTTGTGCTGCCCTAGGCAGGACAAAACTCAGGCACCCCCTCCCCCCGCACTCCCCCGCCCAACCCTCCCCCCCTTCTAAATACACAGTCAGACACAAACACACACACACAGTCAGACACATACACAAACACACACACACACACAGTCAGACACATACACAAACACACACACAGTCAGAGACACACACAGTCAGACACAAACACACACGCACACTCACAAACACACAAACACAGACACAAACACACACAGTCAGACACAAACACACACACACACAGTCAGACACAAACACAGACAGACACAAACACAGACAGACACAAACACAGACAGACACAAACACAGACAGACACAAACACACACACACACACACAGTCAGACACATACACACACACAGTCATACACATACACAGACACAAACAGTCACACACACACAAACACAGTCAGACACAAACACACACACACACACATTAACTTTTTTTTTTAAATTTAAATCCCCCCCCAACCTCCTTACCTTTGGGAGTGCTGGGGGGGTCTCTCTCCCTGGTGGTCCGGTGGAGGAGTCTGGGAGTGGCAGGGAGGAGCTGGAGTGAGTTATCTCCTATGAGTGACTGCTCAGTTCTCGCGCAGCCGGCTGCAGAGTGAGGCTGGGAGCCGGAATAGGACGTCATCTTCCGGCTCCCAGCCTCACTCTGCGGCGCGCGAGGGAGCTGAGCACACAACTCATAGGAAGTGCTCCCTCGCCAGCCGCCCGCCTGCCAACGCCGCCCGCCCGCTCGGGATGTCTGTTAGCCGCAAGGCTAACTAGGCATTTGCCCTGGGCATTTGGGGGGGCGGCGTTTTTTGTCGCCCCCTGAAAAATGCCGCCCAAGGCAAATGCCTTGTTTGCCTCGCGGCTAATACGCCCCTGGTGTGATGTGTATGATGTGTGAGAGAGGGCTGTGTGAGAGAGGGCTGTGTGAGAGAGGGCTGTGTGAGAGAGGGCTGTGTGAGAGAGTGCTGTGTGAGAGAGTGCTGTGTGAGAGTGTGCTGTGTGAGAGTGTGCGCTGTGTGAGAGTGTGCGCTGTGTGAGAGTGTGCGCTGTGTGAGAGTGTGCTGTGTGAGAGTGCTGTATAAATGTTAGAATGGATTGTGTGTATGTGTAGGGGGTGGGTAAACAAACAAATAAAATAACAGGCCCCCTCCCTTCTTACCTTTAGCCTGGGAAGGGGGGACCGACACGCTGGTCCCTGGGACTGGGAGGCGGGGCCGGCGCTCGGATAGTGCCGGCCCTGCATAGACTGGCAGGGGAGATCCTGGGACTTCCCCTGCCGGCCTCGGCCCATAGCCACCGCAGCCCACCGGGCATTTGCCCGGTGTGCCCGATGGCCAGTCCGAGCCTGTTAGATAGATATATAGATTGTTAGATAAATAGATTGTTAGATAGATAGATAGATAGATTGTTAGATAGATAGATAGATTGTTAGATAGATAGATTGTTAGATAGATAGATAGGCAGATATATAAATAGATTGTTAGATAGATTGATAGATAGATAGATAGATAATCACCATGTTGAAATATTAAATTACATTTAATAATTGAATTATTAAACTGTGTTTTGCATTTTTACCATTCAGATGTAATAATACATAAGTCTATATAATAGTGACATGTTTGAATAGTAAACGGAAAAAAAAGGATTTTATTTATTTCTTTGTTGAGTTTCTTATACAAGGAAAACGCATAACTAATGCTCCAACAGTTGTACATTAAATTGCATTGTGTTCACTTATTTGATTTATATTACAGCACTCCTCCTACCTGAATTATTTTAAATGTAAATTTACTGAAAAGTGAGTTCTTGTGGTTTTACAGTTGATACCTAGGTTGATTGTCAAAGATGCCAAATATAAGCATAATTGCTCCTTCTTCTAATAGATGAATTCAGTCTACTTAGTCTAAGATATTTCTTATATTATCAAATAATTGTCTCCGGTTGAAATTTTTGAATAAGCTTTCCAAATGATTTAATATTTTTGGATAAACTATTGAGATTTATTTTTCTAAATAATAAAATATCAATATATATATATATTAAAATAGTTTTCACAATGTCAAATTATTTTAATAGTTTATCCAAGCATGTTAGAATATTTGAAAAGCTAATCTAAAAATATTAGATTGAGGGTAATGCAAGCAACCAACGAGATAAACAATAAGTGATGTTTTAATAATATTTATTGTTAAATTGTCCTGACTATTCTCTTTATTTTATTGGTTTCTAACTTAGTATGTGGGTAACAGACGTAAACAGATACGCTATAAAGAAAGTCATTTGTTTAAATTTCAAGAGTGATTAAAATCTGTGTTAATGATTTACTAGGTTTTCTCTGCAAAGAATCTCGTGGTGCTAATATAACAGTTTCTGGCAAAGTGGGAAAAGAGGTCATCCTAGCCGTGAATCACAGTGACATCATAGACATCAGCTGGTTAATCGTCAAAGGCAACATCCATTTTGCTACCACAAAACCAAATTTAAGCATTGACATTCGAGACAAACAATATGACGGTCGACTGTCTGCACTTGAATATGGTTCTTTAAAATTTAGCAGCCTAACTAAGGAAGACGAAGGTGAATATAAAGCAGATATTAGGTATGCAGAAGAGAAACATTGTGGCCAGCGCTATGTACTCCAAGTTTCCGGTAAGTTTCTCTCACTAATACAGGGGTGCCCAAAAGGTAGATCTCCAGATGTTGTAAAACTACAGCTTCCATGATGCTATATCATTCTAAATCATTCTAAAGGCATACAAATAATAATGGGTGTTGTAGTTCTACAGCATATGGGAATCTACCTTTTGGTCACCCCTGAATTAATATGTACATCTTATGGAAATGATGAGTGGGACTAACCTCTGATATGACCATTATGACTTTAGAAGACAATAAGAAAACATGAATAATAAAACAGGTTCCTTGTACTTTCAGAAGAATATCTTTCGATAATACATAAATATCCACTGTTCCCAGTTAATTGATCGTCCTAGGGGATGAACGTGTTTTGAATAACAATGTTTTTTTTAGAGTTAGGATTTTTTATCATCTCTAAAACAACATCCTGGATATTCTTGGGTCAATGATTGTGGTAAAAATTTTTGGGATAAGAGTTGTGAATGTTCGATAATGAAAGGGGCAGATACCAGGAATTTGGGATCAGAGGGTTTTCTGGAGAGTATGGTCTCTAATAATGTGGGCTGAAAGTCTTTCCACTAAATCTGGGTGGTAACATATTTGCTATCACTTCTTTCCCTGGAGGTAAAACCATATTAACCCTGAGTAACGTATCTGAATTTGATAACAATCATAGCAATGCTTGGATATATCTATCTTTTTGCCATTTTCTCATCCTGATCGCTAGATGAATTGTATAATAATATTTCATATGGATACTTTTTATTTAAGCCAACCACTTACAAAGCAGCGGCTTTCTTGTATATACTAGACCTGACCAGAAGTTGGGTGAAGCCCCCATTCCCCCCCAAAAATGTTTGTTGCATAAAAAGAGTTATGTGATAAACTTAAACTGTACGATAGCTGCTTGAAGTATATTGTCAGCGAGCAATGAAATGATTTCTATCTTATACTATAAATATGGATTTATTACATAATCAGTCCACACTACTAAATTACACACACACATATATATCTATATAGTGTAGATTGGATTAGCCGAATTAGTCCAGTAGACAAGATGCCAAAATCCCAGAGTATTGCAGTTTGCAATGATACCTTTATTATTGGACTAACATAATATTTCAAAGACAAGCTTTCGAGAGCTTTCCTCTCTTCCTCAGGTCTGAAGCAATACTGATCAATCTGATAGAGTTTAACACTTAATACAACTGATGTTAGAGAAGGGGAGAGAGTTTATTTACTCTGTTTATTCACGTTTTCTGGCTATTCTCAACCAAGCTGAACCTTTCACTTTCAGGAACCTTTCACTTTCAGGCTTCGGCTATTTATGACACCCCACTCACCCTCCCTTCCTTCCTCTCTCTAACATCAGTTGTATTAAGTGTTAAACTCGATCAGATTGATCAGTATTGCTTCAGACCTGAGGAAGAGAGGAAAGCTCTCGAAAGCTTGTCTTTGAAATATTATGTTAGTCCAGTAATAAAGGTATCATTGCAAACTGCAATACTCTGGGATTTTGGCATCTTATATATATATATATATTAAAAAAAAAAACCAGATAAAATGCATATCTTGTAATACCTTTTTTATTGGACTAAGAGAATTTTTTAATGACAAGCTTTCGGGAGAACCTCCCTTTCTCAAGTCTGAAGCATATATCATATGTACCAACACTTTAAAATGCATTCCTATATGTTTATTCTATCTATATACAAAGTACTATGTATAGACCTATGCTTTCTCATACTCGTATGCATGTATGCTTATATATATTACTATGCGTTTATATTTGTTCATGTGCATGTATGTATATGTGTTTATGTATATGTACATGTGTTTATGCGTTCACATATACATATTTATGTGTGTGTGCATGTATAAAGTGTACCATCCTCTGCACTGTCTGCTTGTTTGTTTTTCTTTTCCCCCTCTACTCTGCTCTTCAAAAAGATATTTATGACCCTCTGCAAAAAATGGTGTCTATTTTCTAACAAACCTGTGTTTTATCTACACTCATGTCGCTTTAGCCCCTGTATCACAACTCAACTTTGAATTCTATGTGTCGTCTTGCTCAGAAATGCTTCAGACTTGAGAAAGGGAGGTTCTCCTGAAAGCTTGTCATTAAAAAATTATGTTAGTCCAATAAAAAAGGTATTACAAGATATGAATTTTATCTGTTTTTTACATCTACATCACTGGACTAATACGGCTACAATCTCTACATATATATATATATATATATATATATACATATATATATATATACACACTGCTCAAAAAAATAAAGGGAACACTAGATGGGCCGAATGGTTCTTATCTGCCGTCACATTCTATGTTTCTATGTTTAAACAACACAATGTAACTCCAAGTCAATCACACTTCTGTGAAATCAAACTGTCCACTTAGGAAGCAACACTGAGTGACAATCAATTTCACATGCTGTTGTGCAAATGGGATAGACAACAGGTGGACATTATAGGCAATTAGCAAGACACCCTCAATAAAGGAGTGGTTCTGCAGGTGGTGACCACAGACGACTTTTCAGTTCCTATGCTTCCTGGCTGATGTTTTGGTCACTTTTGAATGCTGGCGGTGCTTTCACTCTTGTGGTGGCATGAGATGTAGTCTACAACCCACACAAGTGGCTCAGGTAGTGCAGCTCATCCAGGATGGAACATCAATGCGAGCTGTGGCAAGAAGGTTTGCTGTGTCTGTCAGCGTACTGTCCAGGGCATGGAGGCGCTACCAGGAGACAGGCCAGTACATTAGGAAACGTGGAGGAGGCCGTAGGAGGGCAACAACCCAGCAGCAGGACCGCTACCTCTGCCTTTGTGCAAGGAGGAACAGGAGGAGCACTGCCAGAACCCTGCAAAATGAGCTCCAGCAGGCCACAAATGTGCATGTCTCTGCTTAAACGGTCAGAAACAGACTCCATGAGGGCCCGACATCCACAGGTGGGGGTTGTGCTTACAGCCCAACACCGTGCAGGACATTTGGCATTTGCGAGATAACACCAAGATTGGCAAATTCACCACTGGCGCCCTGTGCTCTTCACAGATGAAAGCAGGTTCACACTGAGCACATGTGACAGATGTGACAGAGTCTGGAGACGCCGTGGAGAATGCTCTGCTGCCTGCAACATCCTCCAGCATGACCGGTTTGGCAGTGGGTCAGTAATGGTGTTGGGTGGCATTTCTTTGGGTAGCCTTCATGTGCTTGTCAGAGATAGCCTGACTGCCATTAGGTACCGAGATGAGATCCTCAGACCCCTTGTGAGACCATATGCTGGTGCGCTTGGCCCTAGGTTCCTCCTAATGCAAGACAATGCTAGACCTCATGTGGCTGGAGTGTGTCAGCATGCCTGCATATGCCAAGGAAGTTACACTTTAGTAATGTGTTGCTTTTCTAGCAAAGCAATACACAATGACCTACCTGGGATAAAGTATATATATAGTGTCTGAGATGAAAGTTGGTTGTGGTGTGCCGAAAACCAACGTACGAGTGGGCCTGTAAATAAAAGAGGGCCCACCAAGGAGAGTTGTAATGCTATGAGGGTGAAGGTGGGTGGGGACAATCAACTTGAACGGCAGAGGTGAGTAGGGGCTGGGAGTTTAACTAGGGGACTTACTCCTCCCACAAATTCAGGCCTAATGGCCTTTCTACTTGTGCTCAGAATTTAATACGTAATGGATAGTGTCTGAGATGAAAGTTGGTTGTGGTGTGCCGAAACCAACGTACGAGTGGGCCTGTAAATAAAAGAGGGCAAAAGAGAAGTTCAAGGAAAACACACTTTATTGCATTTAGTACATAACCAAATTCCTGAAGGCTTGGCAAAGCTCTCTTTCTGGTCGTGGTATGTACGTATGGTATATGGAGGATTTCCATCGACCCAGTCTCTTGATGATGTCGACCAGAGTGTTTGTACTAGGGGCTAATTAAGAGGCTCCTATGCGGAAGGAGTGACCGGAGAACGAAGCTGGGTTGTAATCCAGTTTTGCCAGTAAGGTTCTGATGTGCGTCGTGAATTTAACAGTGGTTAAATTCACGACGCAGTGAATTTACGTGGTGGTAAGTGGAACAGAAACCTTTGAGATACCCTTTAAGACTTTCTTGATGGGGTATGATGACAAAAAGGGCTTAGGGAAATTAGTGAGACTGTGGTGCTGAACCCCTGTGAGGTATAGTTTAATGGTATTGTGAGAAAGTTTTAAATGTAAGTGGCAGAATGAGGCAAAAGCCACCATAGTTTGAGTAGAAAAATCACCTTGTAATCCAAAATTTGCTGTGAACTTATTAAAAATGGTAAGTGCCCTACTGTAGGTGACAGCTGTGTTAGGTGATAGTGCTTGGTGTGTGAGAGACCTAGCGTGGTGCATTAATGCGTTCAATCCAGGATTCGTTTGTGAAACCGCGGTGTCTTGGCCAGTACCAGCGAAGTGGCGACAGAATAATTCAGTATCCATCTGACACCAGTTAATTCTAATATTAAACTGCTTCAGATGGGTGGCCGCCTTCGCTGATACTGATTTATGGTAATCATAAAAAGATGATCCCCCGTACTTGATGCCCAAATCCACCACTTTATGAAGATAGAGGTCTAGTTCCTCTCTCCTGTGGGGATATACCGAGTAAATGACTTTGCGGTATATCCCAAAGGCTATTACGAACTGCGGTATTGATAATTTTTTATTAAGCCTAGGATCTCTGGTTTTAAGCACCACTGAGATATCCCAGTAGTTATATGCCCGGTTCTCCAGCACATCTTGAGAGGCAATAAGTAGTAACACCAGACACACATCCTTCCCGTCTAGGATTTCTTTCCTAATGGAGTCTGGGATGGAGTGCGCTGGTGACACAAAAGGTGACATAACTGTGGCTGGTGCGGGAGGGGGATGTATAGGGGAGTGTGGTGTTGTAGCAGAGACTGACGGGGTGGGGGCTGAGAGGTCAGGGAGGTTACCTGGGGAGGTGATGACATTCTCCACCTTAGATAACCTGTTGTTCAGTGTCTGCAGGCTGGCCAGGATAGTTGCAAGGGTGTCCTGAGTGGATGTTGGAGCTATGGATAAAGCCATCATACAATTATTAAAAATTAGAAGTGGTTATAACAGTATATATTAATTAACAAATTCCGTTTGTGACAAGTTTAGAGTGAAGGCAGCCTGAGGCCTTGACATGATTGAAACTGAAGTGAGTAAATACCATACCTGGATTTGCAAATAAAAAAATTAGAATTTGACAACTTTGTGCAGTAAAACAAGACAAACAGACAATCTGTGGAGACCAAAGAAATGTAACAGAGGCTAAGATTAATGTCTGCGTAAGCTAAAGAGAAATAGAGAAAAATATGAAATGTAGGGTTTGAAAATTCCCCCAGAGGACCGTGCTATATATTAATATATATGTTCTGTGATGGCGTAAAAACTCCGCCAAAGTAGTTGGGTGTCAGAAGAATTAATTATGTAACACAACTAAAACACAGAGGGTCAACTCCAAAAGGCCTTGGAATAAATAACCGAGTACTGAGATAAAGTGTCATACATCTGAGGATCTTATATTTAAACATAATTAAATGAAACCAAGAACCACAGACATAGTAGTAAATGGTTGCAGTAATAAACAGATTTTTTTAACTAACTCCGACCGATTTAATACAAACAGTTAAGTAACCGTTTGTATTAAGTTTGGATGAACAAAAAGCTGATATTTGCACGAACAGGGGTTGGCAGTTTTGACCGCATGGGGGACCCACTGAAGCTAAGTATCATCTGCATTCGACTAATTCTGCACGAATAAAAGTAGTGCATGAACGGGTAAGTATGCGAGGGATGAACAGAAAATTGCATGAATCGCTAAGTGAACAAATGGGTAAGTATACATGTACATAGTTTGTTTGTATGAAAGAACGGTATACAAGAAGTTAACTAAATTTACACCATAGTTTACACGAACAAAGGTCGTCAGTTTAGATGGCACGAAGGACCCACGAAACTTAAGTATAGCCAGCGTTTGACTAATTTAGTCGCACGAACCGCGGAAGTGCACGAACAGGTAAGTATGCACGAACAGGTAATGTATAAGTAAAAGGGAGCCTACCCCTAAGTTTTTAGGCCCGAACGGAAGGAAATAGCCGAAAGTTATTTCCCTCACAAGCTTACGTGAGCATGCCGGTCTCGTGACCGGAAGCCAGATACCGCGACCGGGGAGAAGCCGGGTGGCAGGGCTGCAGAACGGACGGAGGATTCAGCTGGACACCTCTACTGCTGGAGACTGGAGCTGTTTGGCGGGAAGCTCGGACTGGAAGTGCTGGTTGCTATGGAGATAGACAGCGGACAATCAACTTGAACGTCAGAGGTGAGTAGGGGCTGTGAGTTTAAGTAGGGGACTTACTCCTCCCGCAAATTCAGGCCTAATGGCCTTTCTATATATATATATATATATATATATATATATATATTAAAATTGAAAAATATTAGACTTTCATCAGGACCTCAGGTAGGACTGAAACGTCGACCGGCTATTTAACTGTTTTTTTCCCCACACAGTATAGTGGATGTTCATGACTGATATGATGAAATAAAATAAACACTGGAACTTCTACTCGAACGTCCGTGAGTGCAGCCTAATATTGTTTTCTATTTTTCTATGATCAAGCTAAGGCTGGGCACCTAGGAGATCTTATTATCTTAAGCAAATGTGCAAGGAAGTTTGTATCATATATATATATATATATAAAATACAGTTAGCATCTTAATAATATTCCACAGTTCTTGCTTTAAGTAAAACAAAGTAATTTATTTGCCTTTGCTGAACAATGAGCTGTGACAAATTGAAAAACAATAAATGGTATATTTTTGTTTTTGCTATTTGGTATTCAATTCACTAAATAACAAATAGACTGTAAAAAATAATAAAAATACTACACAATAATTTAAAATAGTTTTTCAAATATTAAATAAAAGTTCTGAATAAATGTTTAAACATTGTTTTCAGGAAACCCCTCGCTTTCCCCTGTATCATGTATGGTTGTGGTAGCTCTTGCAATCATCTCTATTTTCTCAGAATGACCAAATGGTATGTATTAATTCTATATCACCATTTATTACTGTCAATAGAGTCTGTATGGTTTCTGTTTGGTTTTCATTACCTGTCTGTTTTGGCAGGTCTGGCTCGATGACGTTTTGTGTCTAGATTGTTATCTGCTTTTTATTTTACTGAATACAGAAGAAACTTCTGTTTTGTGTGACGGAAATTCCAGAATCCAGTTTCCTCAAGAAAAAACGACACAAACTCGAAAATGAAAGTCAATCTGTCAAGAAGTCAAAAGCAAAACTATTTTTCCATAGAATTCTAACTGCGTGCTAGTAAATAACAATATATAGCATAGCCCAAGAGTCAATGTAGCATTTGATCAATTATGGTGAATAACAAATTCTCAAAATAAACACGCACAAAAGCTTTAATACGTGGCACACTCTGGTTTACATTTATTTATTTTTGTTTATTTATTACCGACATTTATAAAGCGCCGACAATTGGGAAGAAGGCAATACAATATAAGCAGACTGATACGAAAGACAGAGGGTCCAGCCCATGAGCTTACAATCTAACATTTCAAGTTCTTGAGTCTGATATTCGCACCAACAAACTAATTGAAATAAAAGGCAAGAAATTGTTATTATTAATCATCTCTACAGCAGGAATTAAAGCTTCACAGAATTAACATCTAGATATCATAATCTAGATCAAACAAAAATCACAAATAATGAGTAAATTAATTGTATTAACAATTTCGAAGACATACCCAAAGAAAGCATGCATGTATTTTTTTCCCATGTATTCTTTGAGGTTAAAAGAAAGCCTGTCTTTGCAAGCAATCCTCTCTTTCCCCAATATAGACTTTTTAGTCTGTGCCGGTGAAGGCATCAATCGGAGACTTCTCATTGAGGTGAATTATTTTGTGTGCTGGGTCACAAGACTGCACCTCTACAATGCTTCTCCATAAGTTATAAAGACTGACATTCTCTACCTTAGCACGTCTGCTGCTTCCATTAGAACTGTGCAGTTAACAGAAGAAAAAGAAAACCTTCCTGCCGGTTTGACTGATAGCTAGGCAGGTGTTCCTGCACCAATTATAAAAGTGCTAAACATCTAGGAATGTTTGATAGAAACTGGGGATCTTCGTAGTGTCCAGGGTCTGCCCCATTTTGGCTTCATTAATAATGCAGAATTATCACTTATCAACTGGACAACATTGATTGGCTAACAGAGCTGGTGTAACTCATTCCCAGGACTCTCGGCCAACCAATGTCATCCAGGTTGGACAAAATTAACATCAGATTGGAGGATGGCACCAGGACACATTAGGTAAACCTAATCAACACTCGTTGTTGGACAGTAATACATATTGGATGAAGGGAGTGTAATGTCTCCTAGCAGTCACACTGTAACGTTCTGCTCAAACCTTTAACATGGATGAAGTTTCAGCCTCTCCCCGTCCCCATTAAATAATGTGTAAAGGACCCAGTGAGAGGATATACCTAAGCCAAGGAAACAAACTATTAATATTCCCAGGCCTGTACCTTATTACGCCCCATATTACAGTAGAGATAACAATAATAGCAAAGAATGATTGTCAAGTTTATTTACAGAAATGGCAAAACATTAAGCGAGTTCCAAAAATCAACAGCCTTCAGATTTAATTTTCCGGATTTCCATAGTATAACGTTTTCTCCAAAAGTCAAGAGGTGGTATTCTACTGACACCTAGTGGCTGGAACGTTATCAACTCACGCACTACCAGTGCAGCTGGTCATCCTCTGCCTCCAGACGCTCTGATGTCCTTTCCTTTCAAATGGTAAATGATGGCACAGCAAGCAAGAATTAATACAAAAGCAGATAACAGCAGCCTGACTATATTCTGCCATCCATAATATCCTGAAAAAGACACAAGAAGTATAAATATGAAATATATCACTTTAATAAAAAACTATTATCCATCCTGATCCAGCTGTCCTGAATTTCAGAATGAGAAACAATACTTATAGACAATATAACTGTAACCGCAGCCGGTTCCCCTATTTACCACTATAACGTCTTAAAACATAGAACTTAGCAGGGCTAACGTACAGATATCTTAACTATGCTATTAAACAGTTAGTAAGAGTTCCTCTATTTAAAATATATAAACAAGAATGAGAATACAATATAAAATAGGGATTGTCTTGGATGCAATAAAGTTTTGTCTTTTATAATGTTTGTTAAATAAAAATATAAATATAAACATAAAAACGTAATAATCCATTACAACATTTTATAGCAGAATTTATAAGATTAAAGTATATGCTTGCAATATCAGTAAAATAGAATTACATACCCTCCTGAACAAGTCTACCTCTCAGTCATGATAAAATGGAGTAGCATCTGTCTCCAAAATCTCTCCTCTGTGTCCTAATATTAATAAGTAAACATATTTATACCTTTGTTTTTTAATTAGGGCGTGTTGGGACCTACCTTAATACGGCAAAAATACGGGACCATGACTTGGTCATTTCACATGGGAACATTTTAATCAGTCTATTGTCATGACCTAGACATCTAATCTATGTTTGGACTAAAACTTAAAGGACCACTATAGGCACCCAGACCATTTCAGCTCAATGAAGTAGTCTGGGTGAAAGGTCCACCAAGGATTAACCCTTCCTGCTGTAAACATAGCAGTTTCAGAGAAACTTCTATTTTTACATATGGGTTAATCCAGCCTCTAGTGGCTGTCTCATTGACATCCGCTAGAAGCACTTCTGCGCATGCGCATTAAGCCGATGACGGGAAAGGAAGAGGAGAGTCCCGGCGCTGGAGAAAGGTAAGTGTTTAACCCCTTCCTCTCCATCCAGCCCGGCGGGAGTGGGTCCCTGAGGGTGGGGGCCAGGAAAATGAGTATGTTTTCCTGGTACTATAGTGGTCCTTTAAGGTTAGACATGATGTAGGTAAGACCCTGACTTGGTGTCACATTAACCTAGGACAAGACGGCGTCTTAACGTTTAAACAACTAACGCACTGAATTTTGGTAAGATATCAATTATTAAAGAAATATTGTATGAAAATTAATATATGTTCAATTTCTAACAACTTCTCCATTTACAAAGTCTCTTAAAGACAAAGTACAAAGTTTAAGAAATACAACAATTCTAAAAACTTGCAATATTTGCAAATAAGATAAAATGTACGAACAAAATTACGCATATGCAAAATATACATCCAGGGTTCAGTATTAGAGTATCCCATTTCACAGCTTCCATTTTGGTGCCACCATTTTACCTGGACCTTTTACCCTTTATTCTGTCTAATCCACTTATTTCGGATAATCCTTGGATTTTACTCTTGTACTAATTCACTGTTTAGTGAACCTTCCCTCTGTGGTACGTTCCTGCTCATCCTGCACCCTACATACTGAGCCCAGTGAATCCAAACGTGGCACATGTCCTGCATAACTTGTGGTAAATCACCAATCCATACTGGGTTACAAAAAAAATATATATTCCAAACTTTTAATACGGTTCAAGCCAATAGCAATATAGATTCAAACAATATAGACTCTGCCAATAAGATGCCATTTAGTAATGATTAGAAGTAGGTAGGCACACTTAGTCAGATTTTAATAAGAAAATTACAACACAAATTATTCTAAGCTTAGGTGCTCACTTAAATAAGGTCCTATTCCCAAAGGGCCAAGAAAAATGACAGATAATATCCAATCAAGAAGCACAACTATTAAAATTTAAAAAAAATATTATAAGATAGGTACAAAGAAAATAGATATCTCGCAATGCATATCATGAAAGATTCAAGCATGACTCACATGCTGGTATTGTAAAGAAAGTTATCGAAGGTACTATAGAAGTATCCAATCAGAACAAGGATTAAGCAACTACCTAAATATCAACGTAATAAGTAATTAGAGGAGATATCAAATCCTAACAGCCCATCAAAAAGATAAAATGAATAATGAAAGACAAACGAATGCATACCTCCCTTGATAAAGGCATCTTTTGCCAAAATGTTGGCGGGCTTGTTAATTGATTTTTCTTCCCTCTTCTCACTAATTCTGGTATGCATTCGTTTGTCTTTCATTATTAATTTTATCTTTTTGATGGGCTGTTAGGATTTGATATCTCCTCTAATTACTTATTATGTTGATATTTAGGTAGTTGCTCAATCCTTGTTCTGATTGGATACTTCTATAGTATCTTTGATAACTTTCTTTACAAAATCAGCATGTGAGTCATGTTTGAATCTTTCATGATATGCATTGCGAGATATCTATTTTCTTTGTACCTATCTTATAATAATTTTTTTTCATATTAATGTTTGTGCTCCTTGATTGGATATTATCAATAAGATGCCATTTACCTGAGCTTTATGCAATCTGTACATATTTGTAGGTCTTGTATCTTGGCCTGAAACTAATCATATTTATATTTCCTGCACAGTGAAAGATTGCGGGCAGACACATAAAGCTAAACAAAGCTGCTGTTGGGATATTAAAGGGACACTATAAGCATCCGAACCTCTTTATCTCACTGAAGAGGTCTGGGTGCAGTGCCCCTGTCCCCTTAACCCTGCAATGTAAAAATTGCTGTTTCAGATAAACGTAAATGTTAAAATTGCAGTGTTAAAGGGACACTATAGTCACTTGAACAACTTTAGCTTAATGAAGCAGTTTTGGTGTATAGAACATGCCCCTGCAGCCTCACTGCTCAATCCTCTGCCATTTAGGAGTTAAATCCCTTTGTTTATGAACCCTAGTCACACCTCCCTGCATGTGACTTGCACAGCCTTCCATAAACACTTCCTGTAAAGAGAGCCCTATTTAAGTTCTGTTTAATTAAGATTTTCTTATCCCCTGCTATGTTAATAGCTTGCTAGACCCTGCAAGAGCCTCCTGTATGTGATTAAAGTTCAATTTAGAGATTGAGATACAATTATTTAAGGTAAATTACATCTGTTTGAAAGTGAAACCAGTTTGTTTTTCATACAGGCTCTGTCAATCATAGCCAGGGGAGGTGTGGCTAAGGCTGCATAACAGAAACAAAGTGATTTAACTCCTAAATGACAGTGAATTGAGCAGTGAAATTGCAGGGGAATGATCTATACACTAAAACTGCTTTATTTAGCTAAAGTAATTTAGGTGGCTATAGTGTTCCTTTAAAGGACCACTATAGTGCCAGGAAAACATACTCGTTTTCCTGGCACTATAGTGCCCTGAGGGTGCCCCCACCTTCAGGGTCCCCCTCCCGCCCAGCTCTGGAAGGGGGAAAGGGGTTTAAACTTACCTTTTTCCAGCGCTGGGCGCTCCTCTGATCCTCCTCTTCACCTCCCCGTCGGCTGAATGCGCACGCGCGGCAAGAGCTGCGCGCGCATTCAGCCGGTCACATAGGAAAGCATTCATAATGCTTTCCTATGGACGCTGGCATGCTCTCACTGTGAAAATCACAGTGAGAAGCACGCAAGCGCCTCTAGTGCTGTCAATGAGACAGCCACTAGAGGATTAGGGGAAGGCTTAACCCATTCATAAACATAGCAGTTTCTCTGAAACTGCTATGTTTATGAAAAAATGGGTTAACCCTAGCTGGACCAGGCACCCAGACCACTTCATTAAGCTGAAGTGGTCTGGGTGCCTAGAGTGGTCCTTTAAGTCTATCTCTAGTGCCTGTCTTCCAGAAAGCCATTAGAAGCACTTCATTGACTCCAAAAGAGTTTAACTCTGTGAAATGACGTTGGATTACCTGGTTATTGCCTCACAGTTTACGAGTTAGGGTGTATGTCCTTGACACTATGCTGAATCTCGGTGTATGGATCTTTGCCTATTAAAAGTTGTTGGCAAAAACAGAATTAAACATTAAAACCACCTGCCTAATATATGAGAAAAAAAGACAGTGAGAAATAATAAGTGTATAACTGGTGGAGTGGCAAATATCAACCAATTAGGCTAGGTATTTCTAAATATAAAACGTAACTTTACATTTAGCGATTAAGTGGGGAAATAAGTCACCACAACAAAAAGATTCAAACAGAAATAGTAATGTATATATTTACAAAACAATTATGTCCGGCTTATATTGGCGTTTGCAGAAATTTACTAGTACCTCTCCCCATATATTGGTGAAAAAAACGTCTAGCGTTACAATCTCCAGCTTTCTTTCATTATATCAATTCTAGGGGTGGGAGGCATGCCTTATACATCCATTTACGATTAACAGGCCCTTTGAGTTAAGGGGTGCCCAAGAAGGGACAGAATTAGTATTTACTTAAGGAACACTATAGTCACCTAAATTACTTTAGCTAAATAAAGCAGTTTTAGTGTATAGATCATTCCCCTGCAATTCCACTGCTCAATTCACTGTCATTTAGGAGTTAAATCACTTTGTTTCTGTTTATGCAGTCTAAGCCACACCTCCCCTGGCTATGATTGACAGAGCCTGCATAAAAAAAAAACTGGTTTCACTTTCAAACAGATGTAATTTACCTTAAATAATTGTATCTCAATCTCTAAATTGAACTTTAATCACATACAGGAGGCTCTTGCAGGGTCTAGCAAGCTATTAACATAGCAGGGGATAAAAAAATCTTAATTAAACAGAACTTGCAACAAAGAAAGCCTAAATAGGGCTCTTTTTACAGGAAGTGTTTATGGAAGGCTGTGCAAGTCACATGCAGGGAGGTGTGACTAGGGTTCATAAACAAAGGGATTTAACTCCTAAATGGCAGAGGATTGAGCAGTGAGGCTGCAGGGGCATGTGCTATACACCAAAACTGCTTCATTAAGCTAAAGTTGGTCAGGTGACTATAGTGTCCCTTTAGTATTTACTTTACCTCTCCCTGTTATCACACCTATTGATACATACATGCATTGGCTACA